TTTTTTTTTTTTTTTTTTTTTCATTATTTTTTTTTTCATTATTTTGATAAAAAGATGATTAGAAAAAATGATTCATTAAATAACTTCGGAGATATCCGGCGTTAATCCACGATTTTGCATGTCAATGAGTATAAAACTGCCAATCAAATCGTTTAGGATATCGGCGATTACCCGTGAAAGTTTCGACGTAATTATTTGATTTAAGCTAAATTACATCATTGTAAGAAAAATATTGGTAAATTAAATGCACTTTATATCTTGGCTGACTTGGCTGATGTTACGGGTTTCCCTTTTTCATATTATTCATTTATACCAATATTAGATTTATTTGATAATTCTGGTCAATAATTCCGGCCAAATTTATGATCCCTTTAATAGAGATTAGATCATATTGATATTGATCATATTGATCCTGTATCTAATAAATCTTAAAGAGTACAAAAATAATTAAATCTCTTGTGAGAAATGAGAAAAGTAGGTGAACAATAGGTAATAGGTAACGTACTAGATATTGATGATCACGATTTTATGTATATCAGATAATCAAATTAGATTTGACAGAGCGAATCATTATGGAACGAATTATTTTATATTTTGTACGAGCTCATGGTTTTTTTTAGCATGTTGTAATTGCTATAGTTGAGATGGAATAACGTTCGGAGCGAAATGTATGAAGAGTTGGAAAATCATTATTGTCACGTGAGATTTCGGCGTTACGACATTACGTCTTATGATACGTATCCAATAACTCAGTATACTGTCTCGTGAGATCGAACTATAATTACTCATTCTAATTCTAAAAATAAAATTCAACCATCTTGTTTCACAAGATTTATCGTGTTTCACGAGTTTTTATGGATATTTTTCGCTACGGATTTATTATCATGAATAATTTGATTTTATAAAGTACGCTAAGCAAAAAAAAAAAAATTTTGATCATTACTATGTAGATATGTAGAATATGTAGATTTTTAAAAAGAGTTAAGTAATAATAATAGCATGATTCATCACAAATTTTTAAAAAAAGAAAATTCACAAAATCGAAATAATTTTTTAATTCATAAATAGAAATTATTTTCCTGGATTTTTTTTTCGTTCATCATTTTTTTTCTTTTTCTTCTTCTTTACTAAAAAATCTAAATCTAAATCTTAAAAAATAAAAATTTCTAAAATTTCTTCAAATTAAATCATAATGTTGTTAGGATCATTTACATTAGATATACTTGTTAATGGGTTACCCGTTCCTGAGATTAGTCAACCTTTGAATAATTCAGAAATTCCTGTAAGTTAAAATTACTCGTTAACTATACTTTTATTTACTTTTCATATCAGATATTCTTTTTTTTAAAAAAATAATAAATAAAAAATAATTATTTACTTTTCATTTTTCATATTCTAGATTTCTCCTACTGGACCTTCATATATTTTTGATGAATCAACTAATCAATGGCATGTTAGTGATATTATCAATTTGGCAAACGTACAAAATCCTGCTGGATCATATTTTACTGTTAGATTTTCTTCATCATACGTTTCACCTTGGTATCCTTTAATGGCTTATCTCGTTATTGATGGACAATTGGATTATCGTTATATAGAAATTTATAATACAGGATTTTATTTAAGAGATCATTTCGTATCATCTGATAAATCAATGAAATATTTTTTTAAATTTAATAATATTATTAGATCAAATTCTAATAATAATAATGAAAATAATGAAAACCAAATTAAAAATAATAATGAAAATAATGAAAACCAAATTAAAAATAATAATGAAAATAATGAAAATCAAATTAAAAATATTAATGAAAATAATGAAAATCAAATTAAAAATATTAATATTAATATTAAAAAAAAAATGAAATATGGAGGAATTGGTGCTATATCAATTTATTTTTATAGAGCTAAACCAGTTAATGAAATTTGTGATGATATGCCAAAATTTGAAATTAATCAACAACCTATTTTATCTAATGATGAAATCATTAAAAATGATATTAATATTACTTCATGTTTTGATATAATTTCTAATCCTTTTGGTATAATGATACCTAATATGAATTATTTAAAATCTTTATATGATTTTCCTATTGGTGTTTTACATTTACATTATAGAAATTCTTCTTGGTTTAATTCTTTCAATTCTTTCAATGGTGATGATCAGAAAATTCCTCTTTTGAAACCGATCAATTCATATGATTCTGATGGTAATATGATGGCGTTAGTAAAACAAGAAGTTGGTCACGTATTTATGAAAAAAGAGTCGAATGAGACGAAAGAGATGAAAGATACGAAAGAGACGAAAGAGGCGAAAGAGACGAAAGAACCGAAGGTGCCTCAGCAGAAATATGACGAATTCATGACAATAAAGCAAGAACTTTATCAAAAGTCAAAGCAGGAATTAATTGTAAAACAAGAACCCGATCAACAAGATTTTGGTTTTATCTCTGTAAAACAAGAGAATCATTCATTAAATAATAATATCTCTAAAGAAATTAAACAAGAGATTATTAAAGAAGAATCAAATACTTCAATCAAAGTTGAACCTATAGAAATAATTACTAATATGGATGTAAAACTACCTAAAAAACCTAAAAATATTAAAACATCAAATGATCTTGAACTTCACAAAAAAAATAAAAATGGAGGAGAAATAAAAAAGAAGAATAAAAAAGACCTTCATAATATAAAGAAAGTATGCAGACCAATCAACTCAAATTTATTGGTGAAAAAAGATTATTATTAAGGAGGGGAGGGGAGGGAAAAAAAAAAAAGTTTTTTTTTATTGTAAGTTTTGCAATGTTTTTGATGCTATTATATATATATATATATTATTTGGAAATGTTAAATATGTAAAAATGTAAATAGAAATATAATTCTTACAGTATATAGCAATTAATACATGTAATTCAGATTAATATTTGCTTTATCAATGTAAATTGTACAAAATAAATTTTTGAATTAATTTTTTTAAATTTTGTTACAAGTGGGTAACGAAAATTTATTCCCCTGAATAAAACTTAATATAATTTGCCGCGTTTACCACGCTACAATTTTCGTAATTTTCGTACACATTTTTATAACAGCACTTGATAATATGCTTGTATTAATATTATTACAAGTGGGTAACGAAAAATTTATTCCCCTGAATAAAACTTACCGCGTAGTTAAAAAGTTACCACGCTACAATTTTCGTGATTTTCGGTCGCATTTTTATAACGACACTTAATACACCTAATAATACGCTTACCTATAAAAAAATTTTATCCGTTATTCCTGTAAAACTTCGTAAAAATGGGCCTTTCGCGGATCCATTCACGGAAATGTAAATAATTCGATAAATTCCGTTATAAATTTATCAAGTAACTAGTGGTGTTTTGAATGTTATATAAATATAATAATAGATTAGAACGACCTTTCAAAACTTCAACGGCGATTAAATATTCTAATATTTATAATATTTATGAATATGTTCTATTTAGTGGATTGCACAATAAGACAAACCCGGTTTCAATTAAATTTCTTCAGATATATCGACATTATAAATTTTATTTGTCTAATATAATAAGCGTATTATTAGGTGTTATTATAAAAATGCGAACGAAAATTACAAAAATTGTAGCGTGGTTACTCTGTATGTATGTGTTAAATGGGAATAAAAGTAATTTTCTTTTTTCCGTTACCCACTTGTAAGAAAATTTTATTTGTCCAATATAAGCGTATTATGATATTAATCCTGTAAAAAAAGTCATTCCATTTTTTATATTCCATCCTTTTTCTGTAAAAGGCTCATATTTCCGGAATTAGATGGATAGAATTGTCAAATTCCAACATCTAGCTAATCAATTCGTGTTAATAATTTTCGATTTGTATAATAATATTTTGCCTCATATTTGGTGTAGTGTATTCGTCATCCGTTTGATCCGGTTCGGGATGATCCGGATGACCATTTCAATATTAATACTAAGTGTCACTCATGATCATCTTCATACTAGTTTTTAAACATTGCGAGTTTATAAAGTTTAAAATAGTTAAAGTTTATATTTAACGAATGACACGTTCCAGAGGATTATCCATTTATTTCATGTGAAGAGGGTTTTTTCCCTTCGGGGAAAAAAACCCTATTATTCCCAACTCCCCATGAAATAAATAATATAAAAATCTCGATAATCCGGATAACCGTTACCATAAAACGGTTACAGTACATTTCGCCGAAGCAATTTCGCCGAAAGGAAGGGACGTTTTGCCGAAAGTGCATTTTATCGAATCCATTTCGCCGAATCGTCCATTTCACCGAATTCCATTTCGCCAAATGACATTTCACTGAAAATTGTAGCGATTAACGTTTTATAAAAAATATTCACCACCGCAATGAAATAAAATTTAAATTATTTAGAGATTTTTTCTTTTTAACATATTATCACTTTAACATTCAAGTAACTGATATTAATTGTTAAACATTTCGCCGAAAATTATTTATGTTTATAGATTTTTATTAAGTTTATCTCGTTATTTATAATACATTAATCTTTTTTTTTACTTACTTTTTCGCGAATAAATGTTTTCAGGAAAATAAAGTTATCTATTTATTGCTAATTCGGCGAAATGTTCATTTGATAAAATGGCTTCGGCGAAATGGAATTCGGTAAAATGGAGTTTCGGTGAACAGAAATGACATTCGTAGATCCAATCCGGATGGTTTCAAACTGCGGATTGGCGGATTGACGGATCACCTAATTTGATGCCATATGATATGCAAATATGTTATTGCTTAAATCATTTGGTAGTATTTATTAAAAGATATGTTTTAAGGGAAAATCTTCTGCCGATATATGATAAAATCAACATCTCGTTGTATAACAGGATGCTGATCACATGCTCACTTTAATAAATTTCTTTAATTAAATGTACTAAATCACGTCTTTTTAGAAAATTGTTTCTAAATTAAGAATTTAATAATAATGGAGTAATGGCGTATCTCAAAATATACCGCTTATGGGCGAATATACCCCCCTATTTCTTTTATAATCGTAAATAAAAATCTACTGATTGCTCATCTCGAGATCTATAAACAGTAGATGATAAATTCCATGCAATTCCTATTCGTGCTTTATATGTACATCGAAAAAATCCCATCCAAAATGGAACAATGGGTGATTAAGTATTCGTAATCATGAACAAACATGGGAATAAAAATTCTACCGTTTGTTTCTGTCGTGATGATGGTGTTACAATGCCATCTTAATTTCCATTTAGTTTCATTCTAAATCACAATCCGTGCTTTTTCTCATAATTATTCGAAAAAGGGTTAGACTATATCTTTTGAATTAATAATTGACTACGGTTACTATGATATAATGGCGTAGTTATGTCACGTACCCATACGCATCTTCAAACCACCCTCACGTGAAAAACTGTATTTCATATGTTTACGTGGATTTACTAATTTACCCATTTTTCTGATTGGCTGCCGGTATTTATATATATGGATTTAGGGTGGGATTTAGGGTTGGGAATTAGGTAGTACACGGTATAACACACCTTTTTTCCATTGAAAATCCCTGTTCGTCACCCCACATGTCACAGAAAAATGTGATAAATTAGTGAAATCGATTTAAATATATCAAAGATGTGTTGTGTTAATTTTTTTTTTTTTTTTGCAATCACGCGATTTTGATCTGCCATTCTGCCTCCAAAAGTAGTGTTTACATAACTACTATTTTTGCCTCATTATATTCATTCAAAAACAAAAATTAGAATATACTTTTTTCTTTTTCTTTTTTTTTCATAGATAAATCTATAAAATGAATGGCACGATTTTTGTGGAGATGGCCGCTTTTTTTCATTATAAAAGGAAGCCAAGTTACTGTCAGTTTACAGCAAGAAAAAGCATTGATACATTCTAAAAAACAAACTTTCAACTTCATTTATCTACCTTCCAAAAGAAACCATGAATCGAAATATTATTTTTGCATTCGTTTTGTTTATTACCCTTTTCAATCTTTGCACGGTCAACGCAAGTCCATTGGTTAAAAGAAGCACCACTTTTAATGAATGTCCACTTAAGGGTATTCCCACCCTCATTGTATCAATGTCACCTGATCCACCGCGATCTGGTAGCGGACCTACAAGTTTTACCGTTTCCGGGGTATTAAAAGAACAAGTCACCGCAGGCACCACCTTCCTAATGATTGTATTTGCAGATGCGTCCGGCCAGAAAATCTTAACTAGTATCTACACCAAAGTTTTTGAAAAATCATTCGCACCTGGAGAAACAGTGACTATTGCAGTAACAGACGTTACTACACCTGATAATCTTCCTAATTCATACACTATCGGAGTTGGTGTTGGAAACCCAGATCTCGGTAATCCAATAACACCATTGATCTTTAGCGGCTGTACATATGCTGTTATTGCATAATTATATTAATTAAAGAAACTACTTTCGCCGGTTCGAATGTTTTAATTTTCTTTTTATTCTATCTTTTTTTTTAATTTAATACATATTATTTTCGATACAGTAGTTTTTTATTAGAAAGAAAAAAAAATTAATCTAATCATAATGTAATGACATTAAATGAGTTTTGTTCATTAATATATAATAAACTTAATCTAATCAAATAAGTTTGTCTTTAAATGTGCTGCATGTCTATGAAATTTATCAGAGATTGTGACATCACGAAATGTCATTAATAACCGTTAAAAGTTCGTAATTTTGATTGCTTTTTCTTTTCGAAGAATTAACATTTTCATTGAGCGTATCTTCTACTTCTACTTCTCCTCGGGATAAATTTTACCGAGGAAATCGTACTGGAAATCGTTAGTCGTTACGATTGGCCCCAATTTTTCTCAACTTCATTTTCAAGATCAGAGACAATGTTTTATATCCTTAAAAATCTCAATCGAGAAAATTAAATTATGGTAGCAAAAATTAAGGCTTATAATGTCATTATCCGCGCTGGAAGACATCTTGCTTTCCTAAATACATAGTGAGAAATTTCTTCCGCATGTAAACTTGACTTCTGATATATGCATACCTTAATTTTTCGTGGGAAGGTTGGTTGAACTTCCACGAACTCCTATACGTTTAATATCTTGCTGAAAAGGAAGAAAAATAAGATATAGGGCATGATTAACATATTCGAATGGCGTAAAGAAAATATAAAAGCACGAGAATGTGGAATTTTCATACCTCTTTACATGCGAGATCTTTGCAAGACGCAAAGTTAGACTAATGCCCGACGATCTCGAATTTGCAAAGTCCTCAGCCCTTCATAACATATGGTTTTGACATCACTATTTACTTACGAGGTAGGCTTACACTCAGTGTACTGCAACCGTTAGACATTCCTCATTTTTCTCATGTTTGTTTAGGGAAAAAAATAGATAAGAGAGGTAACGTTAGCACATAAAATTAAATATGTCGCACAGTGTTTCTTTTTGTAATACAAAAAGACATGTGGCTCAGCAAAATTCTTCCGAGCTGATGATCACTAGTAGGTTCGGAAGGACAATCATTTTGATTTCACAAAGTCCTCTCCCGAGAACTTGAACAACTTATTCTTTCTTTTGTATTAACTAAGTTACCTGATAGATAATTCGGAAAGGAATCGTATTATATTTCTTGAACATTATAAGTGGACACCGAGCGATTAATTATGAAAAAATATATACAGTCGGCCCTCGATATAACGAAGTAGGCGTCCGGGCCGATCAGAGCTTCGTTATGAGAAAATTCGTTAATGCTATAACGAATTATTCGGTATAGCGGAAAAATTTGGTATAGTGCGCCTTCATGAGCATGACGTTCTACAAATGTAAACTTCGAAACATAAATCATCTATCTTTTGATAAAATGAATTAAAAGTGGTAAAATTGCTTGTTGAGAAAAATTTCATAAAAACTAATATTAAACTGCCCTTTATATTAAAATTTATCTTCGTTATATTAAAATAAAAAAAAATTCAAAGAAATTCGTTATAAAAGGGGTCAATTTAATTTACATACGTGAATTTATAAATTTTTCTTCGTTCAACGTTATACTACATTTTATTAGTAATATTTAGGGATTGGAACCGTCCAAAAAAACCTTAACCGGTTAAAAACCGGTTAACCAAGGGTCTTAACCGGTTAAAACTCGGTTAACCAAGGGGTCTTAACCGCAAAAATTACCTTCTTGACCCTTCTCGCATTACTTTCTTGACCCAGTCAAAATATGCATGATTATGTATGACAAAAATGTTCCTTTCTTGACCTGAAACGCGATTGTGATAAACAAAAAAGAAATATTTTATTTTTTATTTATATTTAACAAAAATAGCGTTCAATCTGTCTTTTGCGAGTTGCGAGCATGGTCAATACTTTTTTATTTCTACAATATTGATAAAATTAAAATAATTTTATTTTATTTACAAAAGATAGCTGATAAAAAGATTACATTTAAGAGAAATACATTAATTAGGTAATAAATACTAGCATAAAACTAAATATTAAAATATTAAAATAAAAAAAAAAATAAATTATTTTGTCATTTAATCATTAATGATAAAAAAATTTAATCTTTGTGTATATCTCTTGAAAAATTATGAAAATAAGAAAAATAACAACGCGTTAATGTTTTTTGCAGGTCAAGAAAAGAACATTTTTGTCATACATAATAATGCATATTTTGATCAAGTCAAGAAAGTAATACGAGGAGGGTCAAGAAAGTAATTTTTGCGTCTTAACCGGTTAAAACTCGGTTAACCAAGGGTCTTAACCGGTTAACAACCGGTTAATATTAAAAATTGCATATTTAGTTATAGGAAGACTATATAATATATATCACTAAAATTATTATAAATAAATAGAAAAAAATTCGGCATTAAAACTTCAAGTTTAGGAACACGTGGCCGCAATTTACATATCTCTGGGCCGCATTATATAAATCTGACTAGAATTATGATAAATATAGTTTTAACCGGTTAACCGATTTTCAAAATCCTTTAACCGGTTAACCGTCTTAACCGGTTCCAATCCCTAGACTCATATTCGGTGTAACAAATTTTTTCCATATGATTAAATGCGTACCACTCTAAAGATTCGTTATATCGTGAAATTCGTTATATCAAAAATTTGCTATAGAAAGGGTACTGTAACTTTGTTTTATAATTTCAATATAGTTATATTAAGACAAGGCTGGTTTCTTGCTTTATTTTTGAAAAGATATCTTAAAAACAATTTTATTATATTTCATTTCTTACATTTCTTACATGGTATTTCTTTTCGAAAAAAATATACGTACAATAAGATTTATAAATACTGTACTAAGCTTTGTTAAACTCATTAAGATACTTATAATAAACTATGAGTATAAACATATAATTATGTATTTACGCGTTTAATATATAAAACAAAACATTAATATACTGTACATTGCATCATTTTATGTATATCATAGGTATAAAAAAGTGTTTACATTTGTGTACAATGTATCCTTTTTAATTAATAAACTTGAAATTTCCAGACTGGTCACAGTATGAAATTCAAGTGGAAGAACGAATTATCTAAAAGGCAACTATTTGATCAGATTAGATATTGATAGCATCGTTATAAGTATCACAATCAATAACGAAATCAATTAAATCATGAGCTTGAGCATTGTAATCTTCGTTAAGGGTTTATTTTTTTATTATAAAGAGTGAAAATGGTTGGTAACTGGAAGCTCCCTGATGTTTTTTTTATCGTTCCTAAGTCTGTAAGCAAAATGACTGTCGAAACAATAGGTCATTCAAGTGATTTTAGTGTGTGTTGGAATTCAGAAATTAATAATCAGAGTGAAATGGAATAATATAGGTATTAATGAATAAATGAAGGAAAAAAATATTTTTGCTGAAACTGTTGGATTATCTTTCGAAGAAGCATAGCTTCAAGAAAGGGTGATCGTCTCACGAGTTCAGAGGGGTCTGGCTCATTTTGCTGACATCGATAATTATTTCGCAGACAGACGCTTCACCGAAAATCGCAGTTTTGAACCCTACCCTACCCTAACCTTATCTAACTCTAATCCTTAACCCTAATCCTAATCTAATACTAACCTTAATTTTCATACCTAACCCTAACTCAAATCCTAAATTCATTTGTCGGTAAGATGATTGTCAGCGAAACATTTGCCTGTGAAATGACCCATGTCGGCGAAACGTCTGTCGGTAAGATAATTGTCGGTAAATGAATGTGACCCTTGTATGATCAGTATGATCAGCTGTCTCATCATCATAGTAGTACAGTATGTTTCAGTTGTTTCACCCCATTTAGCTGTCTTGTCATAAATATTAGGCGTGGTCGGGATATTTTCCTCGACTGAGTCTAAACTCTAGCATTAGTCTGATCACTTTCTGGGTCATCTTCTTGTATTTCATCTTCAGGGTCATCATTAAATCCATATTTGGTTTTTCGATAAAGTGATCTATCTGAGAATCAGTAAATCTTGAAATAGTATCTGCGCTATATGTTTTGATGTATTGAATCTTGTCCATTCCTATTTTTTCGAATAAATTGTCAATCCTCAAAGCTTTCTGTGTTTGCTTACATATAATTTTGCACTTGGTGTCGAGGAGCTCAACGAAATGTTTCTGTATTTACTGCAATTTATATAGACTAACAATATCACCATTTCTCTCTATTGAAGTCTCATTATTTGGGCAGACCAAGTTCGCTGAAACTTCAGTCACATGTTTATCTTCCTCGGATGAAATCATTTCTTGAATAAACCCTGTTCGTTTTTTCGCTCATGGGAAGTAGTAGATATAGTAGATGCAATAATATTCTGGGAAATCAAGTGTACTTTGTTACTAGAGGTAACTAATTCACGTTGAAGTTTTTTCTTCTTATTCCTCTGATCTCGTCACTAACCTTATTCTTATGCTCGTTCAAGAAAGCGTCTGTCTCTTTTTCCTCCAATGACTTATGATCACTCACACCCACCTTCTCACATACGTTTGAGGAATCGAGGCTTCGAGTCTCTATTTCATCTATAGTATTCTGCTCATTTCCTGAAATCATTTAATAATCGTTACCTCTGGTAACATCTCTGATTGAAAGAAGGTTTGCTGTTTGTTCTCCTCGTTGTCGTCCCTTAATTTTACCACTTCGGCCTTAAGCTCGGAAATTGCATTATCACGCCTGACATTTTCAGCAACAGTATTTGTCCTACCCTTCTCCAACTCCTCGATTCTACTCTTAATCTCAGCCCTTACTAGATTCACAATCTCGCCCGTAGCCACGCCATACTCGGCCTTAACATTGGCATTCTCGACAGCCTAGTAATCTTAACCATAAGTCTGACGTTCTCCTGTCTAAGTAAGTTAATCTCAGTTTCCATTTTCAGAAACACTTTTAATACACTATATACAAGCATTCAAATAAAATAAATATGTGATTTTGGGCGAACCAAGTTCGTTAAAATTTTGCCAAGAAAAATTTTTATTAATACAACGGTAGCGTGACTCACTACGCAAAAATAAATACAAATCGGGACTTTGCCCGGGTTACATGCAAAATATACGAAACGGTTTACTAAAGTAAACAACACCTCTGCGGTCTGTTTTGATAAGAAATAAAATACGTTAATATTATTGAATCTTCTAAAAAACGCGAATCTGAGTAGCAGACTTACTTGCGCATATCAAATTTTAATATCACGAGGCTTTCCTTCGTGATACAAAGGAGGTCTTCTAGAGCTTTAATTGCATAGTCAACTCGACCGGTGTAATCTTCCTGAAATATTCTTCTACAATACTATAAAAATATCTTGAGAAGCTTTTTTTAGTGATGGCAATTGATGCGTGTAATATTGCTGAAATAAAATCACAACACGTCGCCTCATTTGCATCTATCATTGTCTCTATGATCGAAAGTTTTAAGATAATATCCTCTATACAATGATTGAATGGTTGTTTATTTCCTCAAAAGCTGTAAAAGAAAAAATAAATTATTATTCACGATAGTTCATTCCAAAGCGAAGTAAAATTAAGAGAATAAACGCTCACCGGGAGTAAATTTATTATGTCTTTCTCATTAACCTTATTCCTATATAACATCTCCTTTAAGTCATCAAAAGACTTATATGAGGAGTAATTTCATAATTTCTGACTAAGACCTTCAATAAATTTTGTAAATGTTTTTGCTGGTCCTCAACGCAAAACCAATACTCTTGAGTTTGTTTCAAGAAAGGCAAGACCAAATATTTTCTCCTTGTGAAGAATGTTGATATCATCCGTCATCATCAAATTTCAAGTTTTTCTTTTTCGAATATTCGATAAGCTCCTCTGTATTAAAATCCTTAATGACGTCCGCCATTGTTCGAGAAGAAATTTCTTCCGTTATTGAGCTTGGAGAAGAAGGTTTAGAGGCTTGTGAAGACATGATTTTTATATATAAAGCGAAAAAATATGCACTCAACTGCAGTTACAGGATGGTATATAAGTATTTTTTTTGTTCCGAAGTGAGATACGTCCCGGAGAGAAATAAAAAAGATTTTTTGTATCGGTTAACGTAATATATATGAAAAATTAAGATGTAGTACAAGGTACATCATTAACACGTGATTTATCGAACTTAATGGCCTCATTGGCTCATTCACAATATTATTAAATACTGGAATAAACGTCGCCGGAAGCGGATAATTATATATAAAAAATTGCGAATATATCGCTGTTACATGATACAAATATGGGTAAAAAAAATCCTAACTACTCGTTAGGAAAGAATTCGGATGTGGATAACATCTTCATTAGACATTTCATTAAGATAAGAAAATATCCTATCTTCTGCTCGCATAGACTTCAGGATAAAATTGGCGAAGGAAGTCGTCACGATTGATTGCCCCAACTTCTTCTAGATCAGAGACATTTTTATCCTTGGAATCTCAATCGCAATATGCTTTTTTTTGAAATTTAAAATTATTTCAAATTTTTTTTTCACATTTGTAATATTTGAAATTAATGAATCACATTTTATATAATAAAAGCTTCAATTAATATCTTAAAATAAAATTTAAAACTTTAAATAATTAGATAGTACTACATGCAATTTTACAGCATAAGAATTTAATTAGACAGAAAAATTCTAAAGCCGAATTAAAAAATATCACATGATAATTTTTATGAATAAGTTATATAAGTTATATCAAAATTTAATAGTTTTCTTCTTTTGTGACATGAGAATATGAATTAACGAATAAATAGACTATAATTTGCCACTGTTCGCCATCAACTGATTAGTTACTATCTTAAATTAATTATTAAATAAGAACAAATATTTGGATAAGTATTAAGAATGTAACTAATTTCAATTTAAATATTTAGTAAATTTTCAAAGGAATTTACTACATAAGTGGAAATAAGTGAAAATAAAATAATACACAAAAAATTTTTTTAATATTGTTATATAAAGAGTGGGACAGTGGGTGTAAAAATTTAACTCAATCAACTATTATGTTATTGATTTTTTATTCTTTTAGAAGAAATTTTTTTTTTAAAAAATATTTTAATTATATTTTTAAGTTGGAATTTGTAAAGTAGTACCAATATCCCATGCCAAAATTTAAATTCATCGGGGTTATTATTGTACAGGGATTAATCTTACTATTAGACTCGAAAAAGTTGATATATTTGATATCAAGTAATGATTAAATAATATTAAGTTATTTCCTCAGAGTTGTTTTTAGTATACATATTTATAAAAGTTATGTCAGAACATTGACTTTTGTACGAGATTGCTTTGCAGTATTAGTAGGTCGTTGTTTAAGCAGTGGTCTTCTTTATTGTCCTTTTTAATCTATTTATTATCTTGTTATCAGTAGAATATGGCTCAACATCATAAAATATTTTTTCTTGTAATTCTAATATAAAGTTTATTACTACATATTTTAGTAAATATAACGACAATAGTACTAGTTTATGATATGATTTATTTCATTAGATATTCTGTATGTTAAAAAATTCTGATAAAATAGCTTCATCATCTTAATCAATTGCAATTTTCATTGTTGAATTATAAACTATCAATCTTTTAACTGCGTGGGATTCATTCAAAGTTTCGAAAATTGTTTAAAAAAAATACATAAAGCTGATTAAAAGTATTAGTTGACTATTCAAACTAAGAAGAAAACAACAACCCCAACAGCACCCAGAAAATTCTTCGATCGCATGACAATTTGGGATAATTTCCTAAAATATCACTAAAAATATCTTTTTTTCTAAATAAAACTTGAAGATATAAATTTATACATCTTTTAAATTATATATTATCTGTAATTTTACATGCTCTACAAGTTTACTTAGGGTAATCTTTGACTTTTTATATATATTTTTTCAAAATGATGAATTTTGCAAAAATGGCATTTAAAACCCTCTTCGGTATTCTAAGTAAACTTGCTCAGAAGGCAAAAATACATATATTTTATAAATTTTAGGGCCGTATAATGTATGCGTTAAGTTTTATTTGAAATATAAAAAATATATATTTTTTATCGCCAAAAATTAACCAGCTATTTTAGGAAATGATCGGTAAAAATTGTCACGTGATCGAATAATTTTTCTGGGGTAGTCATGTAAGAAAACAGTGAAATAATGCATGGGATATTGAAACTTTTAACTTTAGCAAAATATTAGTTAAAGTTTCTTCAAAACTTAATTTCCTAATAATTTTGCGATGAAAGCATCTCGTTTATTTATAAAATTAAGAAAAACTCTGTATGATTAGTAGTTCGAACACGAATATACTGTACAATCTTAAATTCTAATTATCTTGAAGCACTTATCTTTTATAATATGAAAATTAAATAATTTTAAAAAATATCTCTTTATTTTTTTTTTAAAAAAAGACAATACTAAAATAGTTAATTAAGTTTGCTTATTTTAATTTTTATGTTAATAAAATAACCATTCGTTAAATTAATGTAAATAATTTCTAATAACCAGTATTCTTATAATTATTATCCATTCCTATTTATAACAGACATTTAAATAAACTTCTTTGAAATTCAATCCAACCAATACAGATTACTAATACTTTAATTTGCTTGAGAAAAATGGGAATAAAAAATTTTTATTATATTTTCGTGAAATATATCTCGGTTTGCGTCTTTACATATAATCAAATTGAAGACTAGCAAAAAACCAAATAATACCAATTTTGTTTCATAGTAAATGTCCTTATTTCCTTTATCAAATTAGAAGGTTAATAAATTACTACTATACATATATAATAAGACTACTTTTTGAGGATTTACTTAATCAATTCACTCAAGCCCTTTGAGAGGGTAGCAATTTTATAACAAAATTTGATACACACAAATAAGTTTACTTTGAGAGATAAATTCATTTAAATTCTTTGGCAAATTTTGCAAAAAATCAGAAAAAAATAATCAAACTATAAGAAAAGTAATTGATAATACAATAAATAATAAATAATATTATATACAAATATGAGTTTGCATTAGCAGTTAGAGGTTTAAATATTTTTCAGGGATTTAAGTCGATATTTATGTAAAATTTAACGTTATTAAGAGTGAATCTAGGTTCTAGAATATGGTTATGTACTGTATGTAATAATATATTATCTAAAATTATAATTTCTGAATTGTCACAAAATTATACTTTTTACCGTAAATTAGTAATTTGACTATCTTAGAATTGATCAGTAGTCTCTCGTTATTAGGTGATAAGAATTATAAATATAAATGTATCATTATTCGTAAAAGTATTTATTATCGATTTATTATTAACATTATATATTCTAAATAAGATGTTATTACCGTATATCACGGGCCATAGTACCGCCTATGTATAGTACCCCTCAAAAAAGAAGTCACTTTCCCCATTGACTTTATTATTTAAATAATCCAGCAAATATCTTAGGTGTGACGTGTAACAATACCCTAATTATTTTATAAGTTTAAACACCCTTTATTAATAGTAAAATTCGCGTAATCGGGGGTACTGTGGCCCACTATATACGGTAATAGTCTTAATAGCTTATAAAATCTCATTTTTTAAAGAGAAATTCTTCGTTTTATTTACAAAAAGAAAAATCTTTTTTCATCAAAAATTTTTTGCAGGTAATATATAAAAAATGGATAAATATATACCTACTAGCAGAAATAATTACTCAATCTCAATATTATTAAAAGTAATAAAATAAATTTTCTAAAATTGACGAAAAATTTTTTTTTTTAATAGAAGTAAAAAAAATCGAATCCAAGCTTATTGATAATATTTTGAGATTCTAATTGCACTCTTACCAATTTATTTTTAATTGAATTAATTATATTTTATAAAATTATTTTTTATTTTGCCATGTAAAATACTTTTTAAAGTTATTACATTATAATTTTTTGTAAAAATAATATGTACCTAAGTAACAATTTTTTTACATGATAAATTTTTCGGCATATTATGATACTACGCCACAGTACTTATATTAACATGCAAATCTTTTCCATTCAATGCTCAAATGATTATTACATGCATTTTGATCGTCATCATACAGTCGTACAAACTTTACGCCCAAATTTTTATTCAAGCCATAAATTTATAATTATTTTTGACGACTTTTACCGATAGAGATTTATTTCTCTTTGCAATAAAATAATAATAAAAAGAAATATGGATAATAGTTCAAGCCAGGTGAATTATAATTTCGTATTAAATTAAATGTTTAATCAATTAAAAAACTTGTTTAAAATTATTTTTATATATTAAATATAGAGCGAAAGTTCTTCAAGCAACTCTGCTCAACCAATTAACAACTCTATTTCGAATAAAACAACATCGTATGAAAACATCTCTAACAATATTATTCTTCTCAAATTAGAAGAGGATGGATTTACAACTCCTGATGGAAAGGCAAAAGAACTTATCAAGGAACTGTCCGAAATAAAATATTTATATGCTTTAAAGCTACTATTTGAAAATCCACTTAATCGATTTACTCCTAAAGTTCTTCGAGATTCTTTGGTTACATTAGCAGATCCAAAACCATTTGATTATTATGATATACAAAGTGTAACTAGGTTAGAGTTACATTTACGTACATGGGTGGCGGTTTTAGAAAAAATTTGTTTTACACAAATGCGTTTAAGTAAGGATCTTCGTAATAGAATTTATAATTCTTTACCAAAATTTGTTGAAATTCATCGAAAAACAACTCAGATCATGCAGGAAGGAATTGATAATAAATATATATCTGATTTTAATCAATTTAATCATCGCCAAATTAATAATGATGATGATAGTATTAAAAAACGAAATTATAACATTGACTTCTTACTAATCCACTTGCGAGACACATTACATAGTTTGCGTGATGATGAGACTTGGTTTCAAGAAATTATACGAAGAACTAAAAATTTACTTAAAGCTGCATTGAATATTACTCCAGGAATTTTATTAATAGCAGGAGTTGCTCTTCCAAATGATAATAGTTCAATCTTATTAATGCTTACTCAAATACGTGAAAGCTTAAGTTTTAAATATCCTGTAGCATCTTATTATGTAGATTGGAGAATTATGCTGATAATTCAACATAATCTTTTTACCTGGTCCGAAAATCCTGAAATGATAATTAGTAATAAATTCTCTGAATTGGTATTAATGGAATATTTTTGGAGCTTTTTAGAAAGAGAATGGATTAATGTTACTAATAAATCTATCTTGGATTCTCAAACAAAATTTGATGAAGTATCAAATAAAGTTGCTAAAGCTTTAAAAAATACTGGAAGTTTCTTAAATGATCTTGCTGGAAATGAACCTCTTGCATTACCACATATCTTATGGTTTGGAATATTAGATCTTGCACAAAACCTTGTTCAAAAGTCTACTCGAACTTCTACATATGGTCTTTGTTATTATTTAGCAATTGAATCACTTAATAAAGCTCCAAGTAGTTTCATTCAATTTAAAGCAGTTGAAATATTATTACATTTGCATAATATTAATAGTCAAATGTTTTCAATGATTGATGATGATTTTGATCAATATATAAAAAAATTAAATGAAAATAAATCAACAGATTTTTCAGAAAAATTTCAAAATTTATTATTATTTATTAAAGAAAAATATCTTGAAGATTTAAAAATTTTAGGCAATGATATTGAAAATGAAAAGAAAGGAAAAGGAAAAAGAAAAAGTTTAAACCAAAATTCGTATTTAAAGAGGGAACAAACATCAAGTTCTAATATTATAGATATTATAGCAAATGAAATGACTTGTCCAGTTAGTAGTGAACCAGAAGATCAATTATGTATTTTAAAATGTCAACATACATTATCACTAAATAATTTAAAAAAATTAAAACAAAAAATATGTTCTGAATGTCGAGAAAAGATTGAAGAAGATGACATCAGATATTTATCACAAAATTCTATTTACAAATATTTATATACCAAATTTTCTGAATCTGGACATATTTTACCTTCAATTGAATTAGAAAATTCAGATCAAATATATGATAGTGATAATTCAGATAATTCAGAAGCTGATCTTATATTAATTAAAAAGAAGAATTTTATGAATCCAACCATTAAACTAAATTCAAATATATCATTATCATCAATACTATCAAGAAATTCAAAGAAACAACATCCAACATATCAAAATATTATAAATGAAATAAATGAAAAACATTATAAAAAAGCTGAATCCTTGTGTAAAGAATTTTTGAATTTTTTTCCTAAAAGTTATTCTTTAAGGTGCATTTTAGCTTATATTTATAGATGTCTTAAAAATTATAAACAAGCACATTTCTATTTAAAAGAAGCCATTAATTTAAAACCAAAAGAACCAATTGCTTATTTAATTTGTGGAGAAATATTTTTTTGGCAAGGTGATTATGATAAAGCAGTAGATAATTTAAAGATATCAATAAATTATAAGGTTAAAATAAATAACTCATATATAATAATTGGAAATAGTTACTTATTTAAAGGTTATTATTATTATTCTATAGAAAATTATAATATTGCATTAGAAAATAATCCAAATAATTATTCATGTCTTAAGAATAGTGCATATAGTTATGAAAAAAGAAGGGGATATCTAGTAGAGGCTTTAAAAATATTAGATAAATTGCTAAATATTAATATGAATGATTCTTTAATTTTATGTTATTATGGAGAAATTTTATGTAATATGGAACAATATAATAAAGCCATATTATATTTTACAAAAGCAAATATTATTGATCCAGAAAATACTCATAATTTAAATAAAAGAGCTATTGCATATTATATTCTTCAAGATTATGATAAAGTTTTATTAGATCTTGATAAGATTATACAATTAGATCCATTAAATAGTTTAGCACATTATTTCAGAAGTCTAACATATTATACAAAGAAAGATATTAATAATGCTGTAATTGAATTTAAAAAGTATAAAGAATTATTTGATTTTAATGATATACTATCAAAAACTCAACTATTTCATCTAGAATATTTACTGAACAAAAATAATTCTACAGAATTAAATAATATATTAACAAAAATTAATCAAATTTCTAATATTAAAGGTAATAAGTTACTACTTTTAATTAGATGTAAAATACATATGGAATTAAAAATGCATCATGAAATAAAAATAGATTTAGATTTATTATATTTAAGTAAAGGTTATTTTGAATATATTTCATATTTTTATTTTTTGCAAGAATGCATTGTGGATTTTTGGCCACTTTCAGTAGTTAATAACAAACTTGGAATTGTTAATGGATTTAGTAAACACATGTATGAAAGTAAGAGTATAGTTAATTTAATTTCTTATACTAATAACAAATAATCAATTCATTACTAATTAATAATAAATTATTTTAGAATCACTTGTTTATTTTATGTCAAATCTGGTAAATCTAGATAACCAACTTCATCAATTTCAAGAAAATGATATAAATAGGTAAGCGAATGTATTTATTAATATATATTTAAAAATTTTCATAATTTTTTTTAATTTTGAATTACTTGTATTTAAAAAAATCCAAGTTTATCAGAAAAGGTGATAAATCCAAAAAATGAAAAACTTTATTTGAATTTGCCCATATTGAATAAGCACATTTATAATTTTAAAATTATTTGGAAAATAAATGTTAAAGAAATATTACATAAAGAATGCTTAATAAAATTTATAATTAAAAATGTAAGTTTTTTGATTACTAAAATATCTTTTTCTCACTATTAAAAATGTTATTTTTTAATTTATAAATGGATTTATTATAGGATTCTGAACAACAAGAACATATTTTAAAACATGAAGATGTGTTAAAAATTGTGGGATTAGGTTGGATTGAATATCAGCTTCCAATAAATATATATGAATGTGAAATACAACTTTCAATTGAAATAAATGGTTCTATTAATATGGTAAATTTTTATTTTGCTTAGAACTTTCTATTTTAAAAGAAATTGATTATAGTAACTTATATTTATTTATATAGCAAATAGATTATGTTCGATTTGGCTCTAATAATGAAATGATAACTTGTATTCCTAATATGGGTGATTTGTTGCTAGATTTTCATAAAATTTGTCCAAATGTTCCAGAAACTTTTAAAGATAAATATTTTTCAAGAATAGAAATGGAGAACTTGCTTGAGTTGAAAGATATAATTAATAACTTAAAATGATAGTTTTTTAAATTTAATACTCTGTTTTTTTTTTAAATTTTATATTATAATTTTATGAAAATTAATAAAAGTATATTATTTATTTAGCTAAAAAAAGCTTAAATATGAATTAATTTGTTATACAATTAATTATATGCGATAATCAATTGCAATGCTGAATAAATCCTTTATCAATCTCTTCCCGTATAGCTTGATTTATTGCAAAATTTGCCAGTTAACAAAACATTTCTATAAAAAAAGTAAATAAAAATTTCAAAGTTCGAAATTTGAAACATCCAATGTTCAGTACCGAAGTAAAGCATGACGGAATCTATAAAAAGATAAATGAAACGTTAATAAACGTTTCTATTTCAAAAAATAAATTGAAGTTTATAACTTCGAAACTACCCAATTATCTAATGCTGTTATGCCAAAATTGAAACTGGTGGGAACCTACAAAAAAGAAAGCAAGTCTGAAAAAAAAATCAAAGTTTAAAAAAAGTTATGTTAACGTTTCACAAAAAGGTGTGAGTCGATTTTAGAATTCAAATAATCAACCAAAAAAGGGATCAGACGATTTGTAATTTTTGTTGAAATTTAAACGAATCATCTAACCGAATTGGCTGAAATTTTGTTAATGAAATGATTTCTACCAATGTTTTTTGAATCATGTTTTATGTGTATTTAATTAAAATCACATATTTAAGAAGTCATTTCAAGATGTAGATTTCTGAAATTACCTATTTGTGTAGAATCTACACAACTTTTTAAGATACAAAATCATTAAAGTATTTTATAAACCATGATTTTATGTGTAAGTTACTTAAAATCGTGTATTTAAGAAATCATTATTTCAAGATGTAAAACTTTGAAACTACCTAGTATTCATGTAGAATCTATGCAATTTTTTAAAATACGCCTTGTTGAATAACTGTTTTTAAGTGTAAATTATGCAAAATATTTTTACAGGGTATAAATTTCCAGGAATTATACATATTTGGCAATTTTACGTTAATATTCGCCTCATATAACCTCCTCACGTAGAATTTGCATTTTAAATAATTTTTAATTGGAAAATAAGGAAATTCATCCGTATGTTTCACAAAAATCTTTAGGCTATACACAGATTAGTTGACAGAACACCCAACTTTCCAACGTGATTCATCTACTCCTGATCTATTCCATAATTATTAGTGGGTCATGTGTACGTTCTGATGGCCAATATACAGTTCCGGTTAATGAAATTTTAATCGAATAGTTTTTTTTGCTAATTAACGAAAAAGCTTAATTTGTTTCACTAATCATGTTTCATTTTCGGCCATTTCCACGCTGCCGGCAGATCGATTACCGTAGCTATCCGAATGTTGATTTTTTTTCAGTCTCTTTAGACTAGATTTTTTTTTATTTAATAATATTTTTTTCGGTCTTTTTTTTAGACTGTCTTTTTTTTTCAATAATATTTTTTTTTTTGGTCTTCTTTTTTTGAGACTGGATCTTTTTTTCAGTCTTTCTTTTTAGACTGGATCGTGTTTTTAATAATATTTTTTTTTGGTTTCTTGTTAGGCCGGATTTTTTTATTTTTATTTTTTTAATTTTTAAAATCACAATTTTTTTAAAACTGAATTTTTAATATTTCTCATCCTGGTTTTTTTCTCTTTATAATAATCTATACAAATATGTTTTTATGTAATTTTTTATTTATTTTTAACATAATTTTCTTTATGTATAGAATATTATCGTTATTATCTGTTTCGTCTTTTAGGCTTAGATCTAGATCAGTGGTTGGACCTTTAACGTACTATTATTTTTTATTATCTAAAATTTATAGAAACAATAAATATCACTAACCTCAACCTAGGTACTCATTTACATTAACTTGCTTTCTATATGGTTAATTTTACTAATAATATTAACAACTTTAATAATTCGTTTTTATAGATAAGGACAACTAAAGAAAAGGAAGAAAATTCACAGATTAGGCTGACGCACTAACGCTGCAATCCTACAGTAAGTATGATTTTTTTATTTTAATAATTTTTTTCGTTCTTTCACATCTTAGGTTTGGATCGGCAATACAATCATATTTTTTTATTGAATAAATATGGTTTGTTTGATTTTTTTAGTTAGAATAAGATTTTTTTTTTACTTAAAATAAAAAAGAACATGTTAATATTATAAGTTCTAATTTATCTAAACAAAAATAGTATATTGATTTAAACTCATTTAATCCTGTTGCAACGCAGCTAGGATTAAATGTATATTGTCGATCGTCACCGTCTTGTGGAATATCACTTAGAAGCACAAATGACTATTACATTTTGATCGTCATCATAAAGTCGTACAAACTTTACGCCCAAATTTTAATTATTTCTGACAACCTTCACCTGGTGTCAACTGGACTCTAATAGTACAAGGAATTTCTCTTTGAACAAAATAATAATAAAAGAAATATGGATAATAGTTCAAGTCAGGTGAATTATAATTTCGTATTAAATTAAATGTTTAATCAATTAAAAACTTGTTTAAAAATTATTTTATATATTAAATATATAGAGCGAAAGTTCTTCAAACAACACTGCTCAACCAATTAACAACTCTATTTCGAATAAAACAACATCGTATGAAAACATCTCTAACAATATTATTCTTTTCAAATTAGAAGAGGATGGATTTACAACTCCTGATGGAAAGGCAAAAGAACTTATTAAGGAACTGTCCGAAATAAAATATTTATATGCTTTAAAGCTACTATTTGAAAACCCACTTAATCGATTTACTCCTAAAGTTCTTCGAGATTCTTTGGTTACATTAGCAGATCCAAAACCATTTGATTATTATGACATACAAAGTGTAACTAGGTTAGAGTTACATTTACGTACATGGGTGGCGGTTTTAGAAAAAATTTGTTTTACACAAATGCGTTTAAGTAAGGATCTTCGTAATAGAATTTATAATTCTTTACCAAAATTTGTTGAAATTCATCGAAAAACAACTCAGGTCATGCAGGAAGGAATTGATAATAAATACATTTCCGATTTTAATCAATTTAATCATCGCCAAATTAATAATGATGATAGTATTAAAAAAAGAAATTATAACATTGACTTCTTACTAATCCACTTGCGAGACACATTACATAGTTTGCGTGATGATGAGACTTGGTTTCAAGAAATTATACGAAGAACTAAAAATTTGCTTAAAGCTGCGTTGAATATTACACCAGGAATTTTATCAATAACAGGAGTTGCTCTTCCAAATGATAATAGTTCAATCTTATCAATGCTTGCTCATATACGGGAAAGCTTAAGTTTTAAATATCCTGTTGCATCTTATTATGTAGATTGGAGAATTATGCTGATAATTCAACATAACCTTTTTACCTGGTCTTAAAGCCCTGAAATGATAATTAGTAATAAATTCTCTGAATTGGTATTAATGGAATATCTTTGGAGCTTTTTGGAAAGAGAATGGATTAATGTTACTAATAAATCTATTCTAGATTCTCAAACAAAATTTGATGAAGTATCAAATAAAGTTGCTAAAGCTTTAAAAAGTACTGGAAGTTTCTTAAATGTTCTTGCTGGAAATGAACCTCTTGCATTACCGCATATTTTATGGTTCGGAATATTAGATCTTGCACAATATCTTGTTCAAAAGTCTACTCGAACTTCTACATATGGCCTTTGTTATTATTTAGAAATTGAATCACTTAATAAAGCTCCAAGTAGTTTCATTCAATTTAAGGCAGTGGAAATATTATTACATTTACATCATAATATCAATAGTCAAATGTTTTCAATGATTGATGATGATTTTGATCAATATATAAAAAAATTAAATGAAAATAAATCAACAGATTTATCAGAAAAATTTCAAAATCAATTATTATTTATTAAAGAAAAATATCTTGAAGATTTAAAAATTTTAAGTAATACTATTGGAAATGAAAGGAAAGGAAAAGGAAAAGGAAAAAGTTTAATTCAAAATTCGTATTTGAAGAGAACAAACATCAAGTTCTAATATTATAGATATTATAGCAAATGAAATGACTTGTCCAGTTAGTAGTGAACCAGAAGATCAATTATGTATTTTAAAATGTCAACATACATTATCACTAAATAATTTAAAAAAATTAAAACAAAAAATATGTCCTGAATGTCGAGAAAAGATTGAAGAAAATGACATCAGATATTTATTGCAAAATTCTATTTATAAAAACTTATATACCAAATTTTCTAAATCTGGGCATATTTTACCTCCAATTGAATTAGAAAATTCAGATCAAATATATGATAGTGATGATTCAGATAATTCAGAAGCTGATCTTATATTAATTAAAAAGAAGAATTTTATGAATCTAATCATTAAACTAAATTCAAATATATCATTATCATCAATATTTCCAAAGTTTTCAAAAAAACAACATCCAACATATCAAAGTATAATAAAAGAATTAAACAAAAAACAGTATGAAAAAGCTGAGTCCTTGTGTAAAGAATTTTTGAATTTTTTTCCTAAAAGTTATTCTTTGAAATGCATTTTAGCTTACATTTATAGATGCCTTAATAATTATGAACAAGCACATTTATACTTAAATGAAGCTATTAATTTAAAACCAAGACGACCAATTGCTTATTTAATTCGTGGTGAAATACTTTTTTGGCAAAATGACTATGAAACAGCAGTAGATAATTTGTGGAAATCAAAAAAATTATAACGTTAAAATTAATAACTTATATATAATGCTTGGAAATAGTTTTCTTGCTTTAATGTCTCATTCAATATTTAATTTTACTGGTTATTCTAGCTATTATAATTTTGCTTTAGAAAATTATAATATTGTATTAAAAAATGATCCAAATAATTATTTCTGCCTTAAGAGTTGTGTATACAGTTATGAGAAGAATAGAGAATTTTCAAAATCTTTAAAAATGTTAGATAAATTGTTAAATATCAATAAGGATGATTCTTTGATTTTATGTTATTATGGAGAAATTTTATGTAATATGATACAATATAATGATGCTATATTATATTTCACAAAAGCAAATATTATTGATCCAGAAAATACTCATAATTTAAACAAGAGAGCTATTACATATTATATTCTTCAAGAATATGATAAAGTTTTATTAGATCTTGACAAAATTATACGATTAGATCCATTAAATAGTTTAGCATATTATCTCAAGTGTCTAACATATTATACAAAGAAAGATATTGATAACGCTAAAATAGTATTTAAGAAGTATAAAAAATTATTTTGTTCTGACAATAATATATTAGCAAAAATTCAATTGTTTCATCTAGAGTATTTACTGAATAAAACTAGTTCTGAAGAATTAAACTGTGGTATATTAACAAAAATCAATCAAGTTTCTAATATTGAAAATAATAATCTACTACTTTTAATTAGATGCAAAATATATATAGAATTAAAAATGTTCCATGAAGCAAAGTCAGATTTGGAATTGTTATATCAGAGATATTTTTCTGAATACATTTCATATATTTATTTATTGCAAGAATAATGGATTTTTGGTTATCCATAAATGTTAATAATAATAATGATTTCTCAACACTTGGAATTATCAATGAATTTAGTAAATACATTTATGAAAGTAAGAGGTTATTTAATGTATTAATTTTTTTGTAATGAATAACCAACAATCAGTATATTAATTATTAATTCTGAACTATTTTAGAATTAAATGTTTATTTAATATCAAACTTAGTAAATCTAAATAGTGAACTTTATCAATTTCAAGAAAATGATGCAAATAGGTAAGTTTTATACGTTTATTATACATTTAAATTTTCAATAATGAATTAATTTGTGTTTAAAATCCAAAGTTTATCAGGAAAGGTGATAAATTCAAAAAATGAAAAACTTCATTTGGATTCTCCTACACTAGTAAATGAGTTTGCAAACTATACTAATATTATTTGGAAAATATATGTTAAAAAAATATTACATACAGATTGTTTTATAAAATTTATTTTTAAAGATATTGTAGGTTAATTAAATGTTTAAATCTCTTTTTTTACTTTTAAAAATGTTATCTTTTTAATTAATATATGGATTTAATAATAGGATTCTAACCAACAGAAGCATATGTTAAAATATGAAGACTTATCAAAACTTGAGGGATTAGGTTGGATTGAATATCAGCTTCCAATAACTGCATATAATCCACAACTTTCAATTGAAATAAATGGTTCTATTAATATGGTAAATTTATATTTTATCTAAAACTTATTATTTAAAAGAAAATTAATTGGTATAACTCATCACTATTTATTTATTTAAATAGCAAATAGATTATGTTCGATTTGGGTATAACTGCGAAATGATAACTTACATTCCTAATATGGGTGATTTGTTACCAGCTTATTACAAACTTTGTCCAAATGTCCCAGAAATTTTTAAAGATAAATTCTTTTCAAGAAAAGAAATGAAAAACTTACTTGAATTGAAAGATATAATTAATAATTTAAAATGATATGTTTTTTTTGAAATTTAATACTATTTCTTTTTTTTTCGTCATTTATATTTGAATTTTTTAAAAATTAATAAAATCATATTATTATTTAACAGTTAATGTAAGAAATTCAATTAAAAATAATTAAAATAACATTTTAAATAAAAAAATTTAAAGCTCAGAAATTTCAAGTGGATTATTATTTTAAGCAATATTAATATGATCCTTCAAATCCGTTCAAGTAATCCGTTCACGTACTAACTAATTTTATAATGATTGATTACTACTCAATGTCTTTATCCAGTAAAATTGTTCTAAACTTATATTATATAATACGTAAAACACAAGTTCTGAATTTTTAAATGTCAGTTTCGTAACTATAGTAAGAGGACCCCGGACAATTATAATCAAGGTCATATCCCCTATGTTAAGAATTTTTAAAATTTTATTATTGCCATCTTGAATTTATTTTAAAAGATATAAATGTAAAATTTTAATAAAATAGTTGCCTTCCTACTATTTATAACTTTGTAATTTAAAAAGTAATATTTAATAATGTAGTTTTTTATTTTTTTGAATATTTTTATGTATACCGATAGTGAAAAAGTGTATATTTTTTTGCCAAATTTCGCCTTGTTACACAATTTTATCTTCTAATTTTAATCAGTAAATTTGCATAATTTTGGTATCAAAAGATTCTTTTTTTTAAAAGAACCATTTTTTTCTATATTATTTTATAATATTAACTTAATAAAACTATAAGATAAATAATGTATAAAGTTTAAAACATAGTCGGATATGACCTCAACTATAATTATCTGGGGTCCTATCACTGGTCGAAGTAGGGGGATGTGCAATACATTTACACTAGAGAAATTTTATATACACGTCACATTTCAAATTGATTTACCAGTAATTTCAATTAATTCCAATTAAAGTGTATATTAAGGAAATTTGTTGTAAACTTGTCCAATTTCCATGAAGTGTATATGTCATTTGAAATTTACAAGTTTCTATTATATAAATGTATTTTAAATTGTGATAAAACCTTCTTTATATATCATTTAAACTTATAATACATTAAACAGAAATTTTTTATGATATAAGAAATGTTAATGAAATTTCGCTCATATTTGCAAATATATAGCTAAAATATTAACAATAAATACAATAAATTATTATAAATTTTATATAAATTTTATGTATATTATAATGAAACTTCACTTCTATTTAAGAATCATAAACTTCGTAGCCACGCTCAATTAAGGCAATGTATTACTAGACCTACACTAAAGATGACTTTAGCAAGGCTTTCTTTGTGAATTAAAAGAAATTTCATACA